GGAAAACAATGATTATCAGTTTTCCAAAAATTTCCAACTTCTTTGTAATTTTAGAAAACGGAAAATTTTAGAAAAATAGACGAACTAAACGCGTTTTCAAAATTCTCATTTTTCTTGGAAAATTTTTCCGGAAAACGACCCATTTTTCCGCAACTAGACGCACCCTAAGTCTCATCTGAAATATAATTGATCGAGAACGCAATCAATATATTTAGAGTATATGTTGACACTTGACACAAATTTTAGAATGGGATCTTTGGAGAATTATACATCATCATATATCCTTGTATTTTGTTTGAAGTGCAAAAAGATTCAATAAAATAAAAATAGCCAATGGGAAACTGGACAAATATACAGAGTTTAGAGTACAACACGAAAACGGGAAATATATAGACAATACAAAATTAGCACAAAAACAAGGAATAAAACAACACCGACTTAGTTTCAACCAAATACAACCCATGAAGAGAGTGATGAAAGAGTAACACTAGCTTTGCAAACACCAAGTAGCAACCAAAGACCCAAAAAAGGCAATCAAGAAACGTATGAAGAGAAAGACACCCGAATTTCAGAATTCAAAATTAGCACAAAAACAAGGAATAAAACAACACCGACTTAGTTTCAACCAAATACGACCCATGAAGAGAGTGATGAAAGAGTAACACTAGCTTCGCAAACACCAAGTAGCAACCAAAGACCCAAAAAAGGCAATCAAGAAACGTATGAAGAGAAAGACACCCAAATTTCAGAATTGTCAAACGTATGAAGAGAAAGACACCCGAATTTCAAAATTGCCAACCAACTTCGTCTCGAGGTAGAAAATAGCAATCAAATTTGAGCTTAGGACTCCATGATAAAATACCACCCCATCATATAGCCTTATATGATGTATGGATAATGTTACGATTCTCAAGTGGATTTAGTGTGTTCATGCAAGATTACTTTGGTGATTATATGTTGGTGAGCTTTCCAAGAGCTTGAGACAATTTAGTGTGACAACTATGTTGCAAGATCTCAAGAAATGATTATGTTGATTTATTAATCGATATCAGGATGAATATATATTCTTTTTCTGAGCATGTCAGTTATGTTAGGAATAATATTCAAAGAACAAAATTAAACTGTACTACTGAAGAGCTTTATTAATAAGAGCTTTATTAATGCATAAATAAAAAATAACAGTTATAATGCATGGATTTATTATTTACCAAATGGAACAAATAATTAATAGAAGTTGTGTATTATGTATTGTTGAAAAATGGAATAAAAAATAAAATAGTTTGTTTATAAAAAAATTTAATAAATATTTTATTAAATTTGAAAAGCCAATTAATTAATTATAGAATTAATTATGTGTTTGAGTTTTTAGTTGGTTGGAATGAAAATGAGTTTGACTTTTAGTTTGTAAATGAAAAGATATTTGAAAAAGTCCACTATCCAAATATTAAAGGGAGTTATTTAGGTCATGATTACTCTAGCAACTTTTGTTCCGGTTTTGTAGGGATATACATAGAGGTTACATCGTCATAAGTTATCCCTGATAACTGTTATCGAACACCGAATGAAATCATAACTGTTATCCAACACTGAATGAAATCGATAGATAATGTAATAGTTCTTGAAACCTTTGTGGTTATAATTTATATAGCTAATTTTATTGAAAATACCGCTAATAATCGGTGATGTTATAGGATCACACGTTAAAAGATATAAAATCCAAAATAAATAATATATTTTTACGATAAATATATTATTTATCATCTAAAACAATAAATAATAATATTGTTGTTCATTATTTATAAAATCAAATCAAGTCGTATATTTAATAATAAATAAATTAGTTTATTTAATAACCAATTATGAAAGTAAAAAACTAAATGGATTAAGTTTACTTTATTAGTTGACTTGAATAGACTTAAAAAGCCTTACCCAACAATATAGATATTTAAGGGATGTTTGTGGTCATTATGTAAAGAAGAAACATAATGACAAACCCTAATCTCTCCTTCCCATCTTTTGACATCTCCCTCATCCCTTCATCTCTTGTGGTCGACAATTTGTTGAAAGTCTAGTGGATAGTTGGATTTGCTCATGTGGATACATATTGCGGTGATCAATCTCGATTGCCATATGCTACATCGAAGGATTTTTATGCTTTAAAATATATGATCCCGAGAATACCCTGTGTTGTGTTAGTTAATTAATATGGAGAGAGTGATGTCATTCTTACCATACTTCCTCCAATGCGATGTAAGCGCCATGTTGGATTTTACCACAAATGTGTGGTTCCTTGGCACACTCAATGAGTGGTGCCATATTTTTTTTAATAGTTAATTTAAATAAAAACTTCAGTTTTAATAAAAAACATAACATACTATTACTACA